CTTCTCATTACAGAGATGCACATCACCTAATGTGCTTAATTGGTAGTAGGCTTTCGAGCCTATACAGCTTGGAGTAAGACAACATGCATGAAGAAGATGATGTGGACAAAATACTCATTTGCCTAATAATTCTGCACTCCCTGTAGTCCAGGACCGTCGGCTTAAGCAAACGGCCAGAACAGCTGAACAGCTGAACAGCTGAACCGCACCCCTGGATGCGGTAACGCATGCACCGAGTCAATTACAATTTTTTCAGCATGTTTCTTCCCGTCTTTCTAACTTCTCTCCTCATGTCGTCTCTCACCATTGGCCCTTAGTTGCAGTGCTCCTCCTCTGCTGTGAGATGCTGTAGATCTCCTGAAGCTGTTTTTTCTGGTCATCGCTGAGCGCAGCCGTCAAACAATGGTACCATGCTGGATCAGTACTCTGGACCCCTACAGACACAGACAAACACACAGCACAGCTCTAGTGTCACGGTGGTTTCATGCATCATCATCGTTTATTTGTATAGCACTTTAAGAACACCAAGATTAGTGACTGAACTTTTCAGATGAGAGGTCAAATCACCAAAATCAACATCTGGGGAATCAGTAGAGCGATGTGGGCGACCATTAAAATTCAAAAAATTATTTGCCATCCATAATTTAATATCGCTGAGACAGTCAAGGAGTGATTGACATGGGGAGGTATCCAAATGACTAAAAGGTAAGTAAAGCTGACAGTCATCGGCATACAAATGAAATGACACTCCGTGTTTACGAAAAATCGCACCAAGGGGGAGTAAATACAGCGAGAAAAGTAATGGCCCAAGGATAGGTCCCTGGGGCACACCCCAAAGCAGAGGGGCCACAGAGGAAGCGGCCAGCCCCAGCTTGACACAAAAACTCCTTTCGGAAAGATATGGTTTTATCCATGACAATGCCAGATCAGAAATTCCCACACAGTGATGTAAGCAGGAGATCAGCAGGTCGTGGTCCACTGTGTCAAATGCAGCTGTCATGTCCAATAACACAAGCACAGCATATTTACCAGGATCAGTAGCAACAAGAATGTCATTCATAACTTTAACAAGAGCTGTCTCTGTGCTGTGAAAGGGCTTAAAACCAGATTGGAAGACAGTTGCGAGTCATTCAAATAATCCAACAGCTGGTATGTACAATCCTCTCCAAGATCTTGCTTAAAAAGGGAAGCTTGGAGGTTTAAAATTTGACATAATAGAACTATCAAGGCCAGGTTTCTTAAGTAAGGGGTGTATGACTGCATGTTTAAACCCACTAGGAACTTGACCGGTTAACAGACTAGTATTGATCATTTTCAGGATATAAGGTCCAATGATGGGAAATACTTTTTGGAGAAAGTGGGGAGTAACAACATCGTTCGGGGAGCCACAGGGCTTAGCATGTAGCACCAACTCCTCTAAATCACCCAGAGAAATCGGTGCAAAAGCAGGGAATAGGCTTGAGCAAGGAGCATGCATGGCCGGCTCAACAATAGGTGGGATCAGAGGCCTCAGGCTAGCAATCTTGTCCACAAGGTAATAAACTTATTGCACATAGCCTCAGAGGACGGCAACAGGTCATAACCCTCCAAGTTAAGTACAGAATTTATAGTATTGTATAAAACACGAGGGTTATGAGAGTTGAGAAAAGTAGGAGTGTTTATCGGCCTTAACTGCCCTCTGATAAGTTTTCCAACTAATCTTTAAGGCTTCCAGGGAGACATGCAATCTATCTTTTTGCAGGCGTTATATGCTGCTATATATGGGTTATACTGCTTTACAAAAAAGTTACTGGGAATCACATTTTTGTCAAGGACGGTCCCATCTGTGTTTATCCTGTTTCGTTACCAAACTATGTGGAAAAATAACAGCATAAATACAGCAGAGCAATGAACTGATCCCACTGCAATGTTTTTGTATGTGATATTAAAAAGTTTCAACTTCAACGAATCCAATCAGAGCAAGAATGTAAACATGCAGTTGCAATAGGCTGGTTTCTGAAGGTTACGATAACGTCTTGTATTTGTCACAGTGAGTGAACAAATAAATATTTAAGTAAAGAATAAAATGGTATAAAAGGAGAGGCAGTGGGCCTCAAACTGTAGTGCACCACAGTCACTGCAAGCAGGGCGTGGACGAGTAGGGGAGTGAAAGTGAGACAACTAAGAAGCATCACCCACCTCCAAGTCAACAATATTCTCTAACAGCAGCACAAAAACTACACACAGATGGTTTGAAGAAGGGGCCACGCTGTTGACCCTTTCTCGAAACGTCCTAGATCTTGGTTGCACCTGAATGAGCCCGGTCCATGAAGCACCATGCTGCTTCCTAAAGGACCCGAAGACCTGCTCCCAGTGTCCCGGAAACAAACAGTAAGGTTCTCTCTAACATGTGAATGATGACCTACTGAGCAGGGCAGACGTGAAGAACTGATACTCGTCCTCTCCATTGTCGTAGTCCAGAGGCGTGCTGTACTCCTCCAGAGGCGTTCCCTCAAAACCATCGTCATCCCAATAGTCATCTTCATCGTCGTCATCATCATCGCCTCCTTGGCCTGCTGGCATGCTGGACTGCTGCTGCATGGTGTTACAATTCTCATTCACCTCATCTTCATCACTAGGAATCTCCTCTGCCGTAAACAAACACAGCCATTTAGAGTGAGGTACCAGGATTTAAAGAGAGATTATTTTCAGCGTACAGTTTGATTTGGGGAGTGGCTCACAAACTAGTGCTGGCCCAGAAGAGGGGAGTCACTATAGGTGGGTCGTGGTCAACAGACCAACTGCTTATGGTTCTGACACCAAAGCAACTTTGTGAACAGGATCTTCCCAAGAGTTTTCCTATGTGAAAGAATACCACAGCATCTTTTTGTAAGGGTGTAATGTAACCTTTAGTCTGTAGCTATTACAAAATTACAAGCTAGGCAGGTAGGAAACCTGGTAGCACAGTGCAGTCTAATGAGACATTGTACTAGTTGCTGCTGAAATCTCTAAAGAAGCTGACAGTTATAGTCAGCTCAGTCTTTTATGTATTTCCACACAATCAGGATTATTTTTTATTTTTTGGTAACATTGGATCTTTAGCTTTAAAGTGGTTAAATATGGAGCCCTGCAAGGGACAGTGGAGAAAAAAAACACATGAAGATCATGTCGAGTTACTCTTGCAAGATCTCGTAAAATAGGTCACATCCTTTGCAGGTCACATTTGAAGGCCAAGTTGCTATCCTTTGTGGCCCAACCTATCCCAGAATTCATAGCGTGGCCCAGCCAATTCCAGTTTCCAAAAGTGGCAGCAGCTTCTTAGTTTTAATGTTTCTCTTTCTGGGTCACAAAATAAACGTAACATATTTTCAGCCGTGAATGTAGCTGTGTAACCTTCAAATATCTGCTCAGTTTATCAAGACATCACATATTTGCAAAAGTGCTCCGACGTTTTCGGAGACGTCTGTTACCCACCAGCTCGAAGCTGACCGGGAGGTCGCGGCCCACTAGAGCCAGGGGGAACACCGCACTCCCGGCACACCGTGCCTCGACCTCCCGCTCAGCTTCCGTTAACAGCTGTGCTGGTTTTCATTTGACAAATGATTTCAATCTTTTAGAAGTTCTAAATAAAACAAAGGCCAAACAGCAAAATACCTAACATTTGAATATTGCAGAAGAGCATAACTAATACCCCAGGTTATTCAGAACGCTCACTGAACACATGCAGTCACTGCCTGCATTTTAAAACTGACCACACAGCTGGCTACAACTAAATAAGAAACACATTTTAAATACATTAAATGTTAAAATGTGCACCGGTCAAGTTAACATTCATGATAACCGTTTCCTTCGTTGTTGTTGAACCGTGAGCTTTACTGACCTCTTGAAAAACTACTTCAGCTTTAGTGAGGGGAGGAGCTGTTTGTCTGACAGCTGTGTGCAGCTGTGTGCAGCTGTGTGCAGCTGGAGGGGCAAAGACGGCACAGTTGATATCGATATTGTTGCAAATGAGTATCTGAATTCAATATTAATTTTTAGCATCAATTTTTTTGACAACCCAGTTAAGAGAAAACGAATACACTCGAATCAAAATATTTGCATGTCCGAGTAAAAGAATGACGCCTCAATGACAACAATAACAGCAAATACATTTATGAGTGTGACCCACCAGAGGTAGAGAAGGTTTAAGGACCCAATTCCTTTATTTTTAACCGAAGCAAAGTAGAGCAGAGAGTGAGAAACATGGTGCAGCTAATTTACACTCAGCGCTGGTGAGTTCAGTGGCTAATTTGACTGACTCTTTCTTCTGTTGTTGGTGCCAACCTCCCGCTTTCTGCTCTATTCTCACCATTCTGGTCTTCGTCTTGAGCCCCTGCACGGGCAAGCAGCTCTGGTTTGTTGATTAGGCGGGAGGCATTAATGTGCTTGAGGCCCAGGAAAAGGAGGAGAATGGAGGGGACAATCTGGGCAGCCACTGCATCCAGCACTGCTGGCCGGCTAGGAAGCTCGATTAGCACACTCAGTCCGATGATGCACATCTTACGGTCATGGAGTCTGTAGAGTGAATCAGAACAAGGCAGTTTCTGAGTGTTCACACAAATTAAACTGTCATCTGTTAATTAAAAGAATTAATGAAAGAACACCTGTTGGTATGTGGGTGCCCATTACAGAGCTGGAGTTACAGTGATGCTAGACTGGAAGTAGGTGGAAAACAGTCTGGCTTTGCTCAAAGCTCAGAAAAACAGATCCAAACATTTCTAAATCTATGACACGGTGTCTCTATGGTTCAGTGATCAACATTTCTCACTGATTATCTGTCGAATTTATTTAATTTGTGTTTAAAATGAAAACAAAAATCATCCTGATATAGAGCCACAGGAAAACTACTTCTTTCTCCAACTCGTCAAACCGTCTGGACTTTCTTGTTATTGCTGCAGGATCTTTACATCACAATATAAATAAACATATAAAGCAATAAAACTGAATTAAACTGTCCCTCCCTTCATAGCAATCACAGCTTCACTCAAAAACTTCACAACATGAAATTTTTAAAATCACAAGAGAACATTGATCCAGAATTTCTCTACCCTAACTCAGTAGTTAGCATCAAAGGACTCTCTTTGCTGCCTTACCCCAAGAAGAATTCAGTGTCATTCATCCACTGGTTGATGAAGTGTGTGGTTATGGGCTGCGGGTTGTGTGGAAAGTGCATGTTGTCCATCGTATGGATGAGCAGGGCTGGATTGTAGTAGAGAGCAGCAATGGCAACCTGGAGACACATTGTCCTCAGCTCACTGGATTTCACCCCCCGCATCAAACGCTCAAGCACTGCCTCCACGAAAAGAGGGATGCACTGTAGAAAGAAAAGAGCAGAAAACATTGCACTGTTTCCTCAGAATGTCAGCAACATGTGGTTTGAACCACAGTGTGCTTGAAACATGCAGGTGAACAAACTGGCATGACTCTGGCTTCCCAGCTTTGGGCATAATTACACCGACAGAGAGAAAGACTTAGCGGCACTTCAGTGTTCTGGCTGCAGGACGTTAGAAATAAAGGAAACGGTGCTGGCTGTGTGATAAGTGGAAAATAAAGGTACAGAGCTGCACCTGACCTGGTCAATGCCTCTGCCTTTGCACTGCAGGATGATAACCTCCAACAGTTTGGCTGCATGACACTCTGCATCCTCGCCCGAATCCATGGACAATACCTTAAACAAAAAGGCTTACTGGTCACAATGCAGCAACAACATTGGAAAAAAGCTGCATGTTTGTTCCTGATGATATTTCTGTGAACCACAGTTCAACACATCTGGAGCCAGACCTTTTTGCACATGCTGTAGATGACCTCCAAGTGCTTCGGACTGGACAGAAGCATGTCCGTGTCCACAGTAACGTAGTTGTGCAAAAGCGGCATCATATCTGTGACATAAACACAATTCATACTTTGAACTCCAACAGTGTTTTCATATAAGCTTTACCCAACATGAATCAAGAGTTTTATTATTATTAAGTTAATAGTCATTTATGTTTCATATTCTTGGAACTATGTGACACAACCTCTGTGTAGTCACACAAAAATCATTTGAATCATCTGCAGCTGTCTGGGGTTTTCACAGGCGAGTAAAAACTCCAACACAGCAGTCAAACTTACAAAACACAAATGTGTATTTCTTTAATAAATATGGTAACAGGCTGATGTGTCACTGTCTTAATGTGGCTACATGGCACGTTTTTTGTTGTTACCAGTTTGTGGTTTCACAGCTATTGTGATAACAAAAAACTGTTTTATGATTAATATTTTAAACGTGTGAAATATGTGCTTGTTTCTGCCTCTCAGGGGAGATAATTTCCTCTATTTCCTGTTGGACACAGTAAACTGAATTTCTGGGCAGCTGCAGACGGTTAATTAGGTTAAATAACACGTTTAGAAGGAACTTAAGCAGACGTATTTTATATAATTTGAAGATTTATACTTCTGCACGTATCTAGGAGGAAAATACCACATACAGTCAAGAGTTAGTGGAGATGAAACTGGGTGTAGGACATACCTGTGAAGTAATCAAAGCAGTCATGCTGGAAGACCTCATACAGGACGCCTAACAGCTGCCACATCTGGGGGGAGATGGTCTGACAGGTAAGGCCAAACGCCAGTGACAGGATCTCCTCATAGAATTCTGCAGTGGTTAAAGAATGACAATGATATTCTGCCACATCGTTGAGATACAAGAGAAAGACAATCCAACACCACTAACAGGAAACAGAGTGTTTACAGACCACTCAGCATGAACATGCAATCTCTACACATATTTCCATTAAATGCAGGAGATAAAACGTGACACCAGTGTATGAGACTGCTTCCCTTTGAGTAGACATGGAAAAATTATCTAGAGATCACTGTGGCTCTTGATAAAGATAGCAAGGAATGTGTTTACTTGAAATAACAAAATGAATTCATTAACAAAATTTGGAACACTTGCAATATCTAGGACGAGGGAAAAGTGTGAAAATGTGGAGGACGACAGAATTTGAAAAGGGAGGCCCCGCCCCCCGCCAAAAAACAAAACAAAACACACTCTTTGGACTGCCCGTGCACACACACCTGCCATACCTATGATGGGTTTCTGCAAGACCAGGCCAATCACCTGCAAACAGATCCCCTCTAGCTGCTGTGTGATCTGAGAGATGAAAAGGAATAAGGCGTCAAATATTACATTCACCACTGTCCCAAATTCAAATACTTCTTGCTGTGTGCGCCTCAGACCTCTTTGTGGTCTTCCATTACGGTGAGGATGGTGTCAATTGTACTGAGGATACCAAGAGCCATGACAGTCTTATCTTCGTTCTCCTCGTACTCCTCACTCTGTAGAACTCTTGTGAAGATCTCTGCCTGCCGAACACACACAGTGGTGTTGCCCATCACTTCACTGACCTTGATTCATTTTGTGGACATCCACATTAATCTTAACTCTTACCTTGCCCTGATGTTTTTCACGAGTTTTGCCCCAGATCACAGCTAAACTTAAATAAAACTAACTTAACCTAAAAGTAGCTTCGTCTGTGTCTTACTCAGGAGAAGAAAAACAAACCCACAATCTCACACACACACACCTGGATGCTGCATGCTTCCTTAATACCTGATTAAGCTACAGAATAAGTCTGTGTTGTCGTCCTACCAGGTTCTGTGTCATGTCTACAGCGATGACGGCCACTTCCTGGTTGTACTCGCAGATCATTTTCTGAATGACGTTGGTCAGGTCATCGTTCTCCGTTTCTCTGACCACATGCAGAAGCTCCTGCATGACTTGCCGAATGTAAGGCCTGATGTACAGCTTGGCTTTATAATGAGAAAAGATTGAGTGAGAAAATGAGACTAAATCTGTGTGTGGCGATGATCATATTTGCAGTGTTTATGTTCTACCAATATTCATAAGTGCTTCTACTACTACAATGACAACCAGTCTCTAATCCCTACTTAAAGGAATACCCATGTCTCCTTTCTTACACACACATTATTTTTAAATAGAAGCTTGGGCCTGTGATGGGAAAGAAAATAAAACCAAACTTGAAAAACGAGAGAAATTTACAAGAAAAAAAAATCTGAAAAATCGAAGCCAATATCGCGTTACTTTTCAAAGTTATTATAACTTCCTGCTAATACCTCCCTCAAAACATTCATTTTCACAACCCTGTGATGGGACTGATTCTGATTTCAGTCAAGCTGGTAAGGTGCATTGTACAAATGTCAGCTTTAACACACAGGAGTGAATCAGCTGTCCTCCACAGACCTTGTTCCTGGTTGCTGACCAGCGTCTGCAGAGCGATGGCAGCCTCCACCTTGACAGGCATCTCTTTGTCATCTATCAGATCCTGTTTGACCAACTCCACAGCATTCCTCAGCACCAGCTCGTCATGGAAACGCAGCGGACTGAAGGAGTGCAACACCCAGCAGGACTAACAAAGGAGAGTATCCCAAGTTTGTACAGCATCCACCTTGGTCAAATTTGTGAAAGCAGTACAGCACTAGTCCACATCAGCTTCTAGTGCAGCTTGTAAAGAATGTAAATAATTCCTCAAAAAAAGGTCATCTTTAAGTTTCATTTAATGAACATATGCCCTACCAGTGGTTATTGCATACTTTTCATTACTTTCAATAGCCACTGGAATACATGATTCAAATAAACTGGAATTATTCCAGTTTAGGTCCTAAACCTAAATGATGAGTTTGTACACGCAGTTCAATTTAATATAGAACTCAAATACCTTAACTGGACATAATATGGGTTTTTTTTAGTTTTATGAAATAAACACAGGGTGAAAATTATACATACAGGATTAAATTGCACCCACATTATTCATTCAGTGGTGACACATTATTAGCCATCATGACACTCTTACACTGCTCTACCAAGGAGGGAGGGAGGTTCACTCACCCTGGCACGCAGGTAACCTAAAGGAGAGTTAAGCAAGGGGAAGACGTAGTTCTGAAGCATCAGCTCCATTTGCTCCCTGTACAGCCGCTTCTGTAGGACCAGACATGCAGAAATGCAGCGAATCTTGAAGCTGATTACTTGATAAAAGTGCTCGTTAGAGTTCCTGTGCGTGTCTCTGTGTACCTTAAGTAAGAGCTCAGCCAGAGCTCCGATGCAGTGCAGCGCTCCATCCGTCCTGCAAGGATCAGCAGAGGGCTCCATCAGGATACGATGGCAGAACTCCATCATTTGAGGCAGGACCTGTAAAATGAATACAGGACATCCTGCAGATTACATTTACAAGATCTGTGTGCAGAAACTAAAGCTTGTGGCTTGTGGTAATAAAAATAAAATACACTGGCAGGAAAAGAGAAAGAGTCCTTTTTTCCATGTGGTGGAATAAACTATAATATAATATCAATATCCCTGGGCAAAGGGCTAGTTGCCACATACTGTGTACAAGCACTCTGGTTCCTGTGGATGTGCGCTATCATGCCCCCCCCCCCACTCACCTCTTTCCTCTTGCGTGCAGCTTTACACAGCAGGCTCTGGGCAGCAGTGACTGGGAGAGCATGGTCATCATAGAGGTCTAGATACAAAGATGGATACTCTCAAAAATAACATATGCACTCACCTTCACCACTCAATGTTATAGCAATGGCCAAAAATGACTTTCTCTCAGTTTCACTTTTAGGGTTTTGGGTTTCTTTGGTAGGCAAACTCCAAACTCAGATATGCTGTTGCTGCCTTTGCAATCTGCAGATTACAGACACATGGGGACCCCCTGTTCCTGTGCAGAGCAGTAGGGGAACCACAGCAACACTAAGCAGAGACTCCAGAGTGTGCACAAGTAATTCAAGACTAAAACTCTAGTATCATTACAACCCTAATACCAGGATACTTGAACACTTACTGAACTTCATACGGATATACTCATATGGATCCTCTTGCCATAGTTTCTCGTCCTCGTCTTTGTAGCACATAAGAGGGAAGATGACCTCCTGGCATATGGTCTACATGAAACAAAACCTTCATAATATTAATGAGATTAAAGATGATTCAAGAGGGAGAAATAAGACTGGCTTTATTAAAATAAATAGACAAATAAAAATGACCAGAGTGGAAAAAGTAGGGCAGAAATTTGTAACTATGTGAATGACTAAATGATGAAATCACAGACAGAACAACTTTCAGTCAGCATCCATTCGTTACTCTTTATTAAAGTCAACTTTGAACTGAGTCCGAAGGACTCCTCTCTAAAGTTCCTGACATTTTTGGTGGAATAGTACCTTTAAGTATTTGGTGAAACTAAATTCAGATCGCTCTAAACTGAAGAAGAGGGTCTGGTCCGATCAGGAACAGGCAAAGATCATATTCCTTCATGCATGTCCTACCTGCATGTGCGGCTTCATCTGTTTCCAGGTCAGTGAGTGTGACAGACCCTGGTTGAGGTAGTTGAGGCACTGCTGTAGGACCTGAGGAGTAACATACTGCTTCTGTCGGTACTGGTCCACCACCTTCAGCAAGACCTGGATGGATAACACACCGCACAGGATGAATAACCACCGTCGCTCATAGGATTAGTTGCAACAAACTGTTAGTCTTGATGTTTGCTCAATAATCCAGGTAAGCAAATCCCCAAAAGTTGATTCTGTTCATCTGAAAACAACAACACTGCAGATGTCGAAGCAGAGCAACTGCGGACAAACATTTCAGCCTGTCCCAGCAATGCAGAGCCGGCAGCATCAGCAGCATGACTTGGTAAAGACGGCAACAGGCAGACTCATCTGGCTTGGTCAGTGTAAAATACGCTGCTGCCATTGTTCAATATTCACAAATGAGGGGCCGTGCTGACACCCGCTGCTCTCTGGCAGGAAGCACCATGTTTTAAATGCACTTCAGAACAACACACAGCATCACCACATATGAGCGGCCGGAGAGAGGTATGGGGTCTTCACACCCCCGTTCTCTGTTGGGGGGTGGGGGGCTGAGGGGAGGAGTTGGCGTCTGGGATGCTCCCTGCTGCTGCAGGACCGGGGGTGGTCTGCTTGTCTCCACCCCAGAGCAGAGGGCAACATCTCCTGGCTCTGGGGGCAGACTGCCCCTCTGGGAACATCTCAGGCCCCCCCATCTGTGGGGACCCCCCACCACACTCCCTGCTGGTGGCTGATGCTCTCAGCCGCCGGCGCATTGGTGGTTGGTGGGCTGTGAAGCCAAACTTTCATGTGCTCTATTTTCAAACTTGTTATCTCAGGAATTTCCAACCTCTCTCTTAATGTTTTCCAAAAACACCATGGCAAGGAAGTTATCTTCCGCCTGTTCAAGGTTCAAGGTTCTGTTTTGTAATACCAGGGATTCTCATATTTCCCGTCTCTCTTGGGCAGTCATCCAAGTCTCCAGCTCCCTCTGAAGTTGAAGCAAGTCCAGAGCGGTTCTTCACTTTTCCCTCCGAAAATATCCTTCAGACATTTCAGGTAGAGTCTGTAGAGTCTTTACTTGCACAGAATTCTTCACTAATAAAAGTTTCTCAGCTCCCAGTCATGTTGTTAGCGTTCGACTCTCCGGTTGTTACGACCATCCTTTAATCTACAAGATGTTCTTTTGTCTGCCTTTAGGCACAGCATAAACGCCTTATGAATATCACATAACCTTGAATTTGGAATGCACCTAATATAAAATAGCATTTTCAAGTAGATATTGAAGAGCTCTTGAGTTAACCTGTTGCTGTCATGCTGAGGAACAAAGCCAATTAGCACGTAAAACAACAAGAGTGCATGTTTACTGACTGTAACGCACAAATACCACAAAGATACGTATCAACTAGAGAATCTACATTAAAGATCAAAGTCAGAGTGTTATTTACCGGACATTCCCTATAACTCAAACAGACTCAGTGACACATATTTACCTGCTGGATCCCCACTGCATATGTCTTCAGGAAAAAATCTGCAAACTCGTAGTACTCTTTGGTCACGTTTCCTGGGCTTCCATATCTGTGATTCACATCAGAAATACAGGAATGCTGAAAAGGTCTTTCTGCCAAACCCAAATCTGCTCGGTAATGATTTAACAGCATTTCTGGACTCACCGTTCAAACAGTCGCGTGATGATGCGCAACGCCCACTTTTTACACTTCCACCACGCCAGCTCAGGACGGTCATCCTCATCCACCTCCAGTGTCTCCTAACAAACACACTGTATGGTTAGCACTAGGTCCTCGTGAAGAACACATTCATTAGAATTTTAATCCGTGCGTCTAGAAATACTATAGAAACCTTTATTTACGGGGTTTTTAACTACACTTGTGTCAGTGGAAAAACGTTTCTGCACTGATGATGCCGTTTTGTGCCACTCAGCTCTCACAATAACTGAATGTCTCAGCAGAAGTAAGCTTCTAACAGTTCAGGCTCACATGTGTAATTGTAAGATTGTGTAATATGAAACCAAATGAATGTGGTTTGTTTGGACTTAATTAAAAAAAAAGTTCATTATAGACTTTTTTTTATTAAAACAAATGTTCAGCACAAAACGTTTGCTGGTCTCTGTGTCTGTGTGACTCTCCCACAGTCCACAAACATCCATGCTGGGCTGATTGGTAATGTGAGGCAGATAAAGGGCTGAAAGCGCATAGAATAAGCATGCTAGTACTTTATTGATCATTCTGTGACTAGACTTAAAGTGCAATACACAAGTTTTGAAAATAAAATCCCAAACCTTAAAAGGATTTACCATGTAAAAGCTGATTCTGTTCATCTGGAAATTTGCATATTAATGATCCATAATGTGAAAATGATCAAGAAACTGTGAGGTCGGCTCATAAACTGACCTCACAGCCATTTGTTCACTAGTGGTCCTGGTTTCAGTCATTATGCAAATGTACTGTTTATAAGATTGGGGAAACCTGCAGTCAGACTGAAGACGTCACTTGGACGAGTGACCACTGAAAACGCTACGTGCAGATGAACAGAGTCAGCTTTTTGGGATTTCCTTATCTAGATGATTGAGAATGCATCAAGACGTCACATACTGTTGGATTTGTTAAATCACATTGTGTCTATATGATTCGGGATCTTACAGCTGGGATGTCTCGGTCCATTATGGCTCGGAGTATTTCCATCCACTGAGTCATCACTGTGTTGTTGATCAGCTGGAGAGGCAGCGAATACTGCAAGAAAGAAGAAGTACGTGCTTACTCCTTTCCATTACGACCACCTGTCTACTTTCTGAAAGCATCTCTGAGCCTTTCCTTAACACATAAGTCACATCAGCGGATGACGACAGTTAATCTGAATAAACAGCAACTGCTGCTGTTTGCACCAGTGTAGTGGAGTTTAGGGCACATTGAAAAGTGTGTAATTAGGAATAAAAAGGTGCAGGACTGTAGTCCCTCTCACCCTCTTAGCATTCAGTCTGGCCACAGTCACATTCTGTAAGCTCAGCATAAGACAACTGAAGGAAACATATCAATTTAGAGCTACATGTGTCAACAACTACAACTACATGTTTTGACATGAGACATTTCAAAGTTTCAGTGTCTGGCTTTTTAGCACATGAAAACATCTGATCTGAAAAAAAGCTCACACACGTGCACACACACGTGCACACACACGTGCACACACACGTGCACACACACGTGCACACACACGTGCACACACACGTGCACACACCTGTACAAGAGCATGGAAGATCTTCAGGATCTGTTTCTGAATGAGGACTGAAAAGATTGTGGCATCAACCAGAAGCTGGCTGATGAGTTGTTGAATCCTGGGCAGGAAGATCTGCATGGCTGCAAGCAACGGCTCCCTCTCATCTGCTTTCCTGTACCTGAAGCACACACATGCGTGATACTTACTAAATGATCTCAGTTCAAATCAGAACGTGCTTCAGGTTGTAGACGTCATTCTCCTTCAACTGTTAGACTGAAGCAGAGAGTGCCTTATCTGCTTCTGTCTCTATAATGCCTTGCTGGTCTGAGAGAATTTCTTTAAATGACTTTACACTGTAATATGGAAGCCCGCCACTAAAAAAACACCAAAAAAAACAAAAGACAAATATCCATAACTCGAAATTTCGACTTCTATTTCTCCAAATTTCGAGTTAATAACCAAAAATTTCGAGTTAGCTCCGCCAATCAGTAATCTACGTGAATGAGGTCACTTTCTTGTTACCCAGAAGCATATGGCGCAGAGCAACGCGCACTCAAAACTGGCGCTTTTGCAAGTACGTCTGCTGATAGCAACACCATGTGATTCAGCCAATAACACGAGGATTTCATCATTTTTGAAGCCAGGCTGAAAACACTCAGCAATCTGTGCATTCATGGCTGGATGTAATACAGCTTAGCTGTAGCATTTGTGCCTGAGGGCTTCAGCTTCCGGGTGACAAGGAAAAGACGTCACAGTTAATAACTCGAAATTTCGAGTTATGGATCCTTTTTTTAGTGGCAGAAACGGGCTTCCATACTGTAATGTTATATTTTCTGGCACAAAGATGTAAACTGTAACTAGCTGCACATTTTTACTAATTGTAAAATAATTAATACAGTGGAACCCTGACTTACGAAATTAATTCGTTCCAGAGGGTCTTTCGTGAATCAATTTTTTCTTAAGGCAAAGCACCTTTTTCCATCGCCTTTTGAGTGAGGCGATGCTGGCTGAAGACGAAGGAGGAGGTTGAAGAAAGCATGCGTATGCATGCATACATATGTACGTATACGTGTACATAACATTTTCTGTTTTATCTACTTCGTTACGCGGGCATTTTGCCGTACCACGGGCCTTTGTAACATGAATTCTTCATTAAATGGGGTCTTTGTAAGCCGGGCTTCCACTACATTTATAATGCACCTCAAATGAAGCCATTTAGTTGGTTGCTAGCTTTGCTACAGATAAGGACAAAAATGACTAGCCCCACTGTGACATTTAAAGTTTCAATGTTCTGAAAGTGTTTTTAAAACAGAACAAGCCTTGGTTTGCATTAGTCATTTCCAGAGATCTCAATGCTAAAGACACAGCCTGTATGTTGGGGAGAGGAAAAACACAGATTAATCCCAAATTTCATCATCAAAATTAGACAACAGAAATCATATTTCTATTGGTTATCTCTTGCAAACATCCAGGAAAAGCATCCGAGTTCTGGAAAGCCTTCAAAACGTACCTACATCACTTCCTTCAGGAATCAGTTTGGAATGCTTTCACGTGGGAATTTGCTTTATATACTTGTTGTCTAACAACACAGTATCTCCAATTTTATATGTTCTCCACCAAATATTCAGAACTGTAAAAACTAATTTGCGTTTACCTCGATAAACCACACGATGGTCTACAGTAAACTGTCCCTCCTTCGCCTCAGTGCTGATAGGATCACTGCTCCTGTAACTTGTACTTTTAATGTAACACATGTTACAGGCAAATACGCAGATGACAAGCCTGAAAATCCACAGACTGCTTTCGACAAATTTCAGAAATCTTTTTCTACATCAATATTTATGAGGTCACCAAAAAGTATCCAGCCTACAGTCCATATTCAGACCCTTCATGGCCGTCAGATTAAAACTGCTGATTCTTATAAAACTTCAGCTTCATGCCAGATGAACTTTAAAAAAGTCATGTGGTCCCCAACCCCCCGGGCCACGGTCCGGTACTGGTCCGTGAGTCGTTTGGTACCAGGCCGCGAGAGTTGAGGCTCCGGTGTGAAATTTATGGTTTTCGGGGTTTTTATCGTTAACTCAGCTTCCCTGGGTCTTTTCCTGTGTTGTAGTCATGTGTCTTATTTTGAAAGAAATATTTACATGTTACCATAGTGACCAGGGAGCATTAAGGGGCAGAGAGGAGGATGTTACTCTCCATGTTGTTGGCGCAGTTCAGGAGGACGCTGCTAATAAAGTTACACAGTGAATTCATCTTTATTATTATATTTACAAAATACCAGTTTTTGTCTCGGTCGTTTGGTTTTATTTTGTTGTATTTATCCGCCACACCTTAAAGGCCGCAGCGTGAAAACATTGCCTGACATTAAACTGGTCCGTGCCTCAAAAAAGGATGGGGGCCGCTGGCCTAAGACTCAATTTTTCTTTTGCACACATATCACTCTTAAAAAGGGGCCCTGACCTCAATTTCACTATCTTTTTAAATAAAGGATTTCAGATGTAATAAAAAATAATAATAACCCGTTCTGCTCTCCAGACGTGATTGGTGGGTGGGCTGAACATGAACAGGTTACTTACTCGTATGTTTTGACCAGCTGGTAGAGAGCCAGCAGGGTTCCATACCAGCTGCCGCTGTTTGGAGACTGCAGGTACATATTGATCTTGTCCACAATGGCAGTCCAGCGGCCGGGGAAGTCATGCTTGATGATGGCTCGCAAACACATGGTCAACTGGGCGCTACAGAAAAAAGAAAACAATATGTGGCGTCACTATCATGTCGTGGGCACTATTCAAAGGGCTTTTAATGGTTGAAATAGGTTAAGATCTAAGAGAAGGGGAAAAGCTGTCCTGAGTGAGCAGGTGTGTGCACATGTGCATGTACCGTATGGACTCTGGACAGCGGATGATACCCTCCAAGATCTGATCTCTGATCTGCTGCCGGTCGTTCTCATGGATGTTGAAGGGAAAGACAACCTCCCCGACAGATGGTTCCCTGTCCTGCCAGTACTGACTCACCATGTTCTTCAGGTAGATTGCAGCTACACACACCGAGACAATCAGACCATCATCACACAGGTCATATAGCTAATGTAGTTTCACACTGTTCATTTATTTATGTGCTTCTACAAATCACAAAGACTCCATTTAAAACACTGGCCTGTTGATATCTAATATTTTCTTAAGGCTGAGAAACCACACGTGCAGATCCAAATCTTTAACCTTTCAGGTTTGGTGTAAACACTTCAGCTACTCCAAATACTTACTAGTGAAGTGCTTCCCAAATGGGAGGCCATGGCAGCTAGTTTTAGACATACTCATACAACAGTCTCTCTCAGCAGGTCAGTGCTATTTTTCTAACTACTAAATAATGATGGAAACAGAGTGACCAAAACCAGTTAGCATCTTACCTGCTTGGCGAACAGGAAACTCTACCTGCTCCGACACAATGATCTGAAGCAGGGTAGGGGCGAAATTAATGATCTTGTAGGACTGAAACACAGACAGATGGACAGCTTCAAAATTTCGTATGTATTCAAAACAATATTAAAACATTTTTAAACCCAAAGTTTTTGGAAATGAAATGTAAGATGCCAAAGCTGCAGCTCTTAAAAATGGCCTCTGAAGCATTCACCAGTGTGTAACTGTGTCACCGGTAAAGGCACTTAAACTGCAAAGACAAAGGATAAAGAGGAAAGTGTGAGTGAATGAGTGAAAATAACACTGATATGAAAATTCTACCTGTTTTGCTGACTGCAGCCTGCGCATGCAAAGACTGTGCTGTGCAGGTCTATGTGCATTAGTGGTGTAATTCTCTTTTATTGGCCCACTCATGCAGCTGCAGCACCCCACAGACACTGCAGGCCATCAGTACTGCCTTACTGTCGCGTCACTTCATCACAGTATATACAGTCTAACTGTTTTTATAATTTGGCGCCATCTAACATTTCTGTCTTCAACAGTGTGAGATTGATTATTATTATTATTTTATTACCATTTGTACTTCTGTCAAAGTCCATTCATGGTCCACTCGCAAGAGAATATTGGATCCTAGACAGATGTTTTCTAGAGGATTGCAATTCTCAGCTGTTGGTCAGTGAATGTATTCTGGCCTTTGTAAACTTTCCAATCCCACATCAAACCCTCTGTTGTTCTCCACCTCCTCTCCGGCCAGCTCCCCCTTTCCAAGATTTGGAGTTAAATACTTTTTGTCTTACTCGGTCTTCTGCATCCTGAAGTACATCTTATGCCTGCCATGAATTCATCCAGGAAGATGTCAAAGTTGTGACATCGAAGACTTATCACAGTTATTTCTTTTGAAATTGCAGACAAATTAAAATGAAACTTCAACAAACACACCAACCTTTTCTGTATAGCTTTGCAAACTAACAGTGCAATAGATCCGTTTCCGAGAAAGAAAAACACAAAGTAATGTGCGATCTCAGAGATGGAGAAAGAAAAAGAGGACAGAAGAAGACACGATGATTTCTTTTCCTTTAAAACAAAACGAGGATTGCCCAGCAGGTGTAGTTGATAAACGGGGGTTTAGAGCTTCGATGTAAAGCTTATATAATCACACAATGCATGTGTAATTAAATAAGGAGTTATTACACAGTGTGAATGCCCACAGCTCAAACCCATTTAAGATTTATCAATTCAAGTTTCAGTCATGATGCAGCCAGCGTTAAAATAACACAGCATAAACATTAGTGGGTTTCTGCATCGTTCTGGGTAACTCAGCAAAGCTCTCAATCGCCAAATATTGCGATCCTTTTTATTATTCGGCCATTGAAGGCAGGAGCAACAACAGAGGACTGGAGGAAGTCCTGAACTCCAGTGCTGACATGAGAAAGTTTGGGAAGCCCCGCTGCTGACCGTCAGCTCGTGATGGCTGTCAGAACTGCCTGCTATTGTTCTCCAGGGCAGCTGCCGCAGTGACTGTCGGGGTACCGGTTAGACTAAATGCTGATCTTAGGCCTAATATATGCATCTGAACGTTAACCAGGTAAAGCCGAGCGCAAGCCCCAAAACACGGTCCGCCATCCTCCACAAACACCAGCAGCCCTCCTCGGCTCGAACGAAAAAAGAAAACAAGCAGACCAAAAACTATTTAGCTCACCCACCTGATTGAGTTCATTTTCTGCCGCTATCCTCAGGTTGGGGTCGATGGTTCCCTTCAGAGCCTGGATTATACGGTTGGGATCCATGTGTGTTCAGTTCCACGGTTCCGTTTCTATTTTTATTCTCACATTCATGAAACTAACAGAAGCTAACGTTTCTGCACCCGAAATTCGTGCCTTTTGCATCCAGTGTGGCCTAAACACGAAAAGGCTTCCGGTAGTAAAAAACACAACGTCCGGTCAGAGCATTCAAAATAAAAGGCTTGTTATCGGACACATGTTCAGCATTTTGTTTAAAGGAGCGGAGGCGCGTTTCTGACACGTCGGTGTTCTTTCTGCTAATGTCCCGACACCTTTACAGCGCTCACATCAGTGTTGCAGGCAACGACCTGTCAATATTGGCTCGAGTTCTTTTTTTAGGCGGTTGACATTCAACATTTTATTGTATTACCGCCACCTGCTGGGCTGGAGTGTGAATACGTGACTCCAAAATGCAATATTTCTGCAAGGAATGGGAAGTTCCTATAACCCGCGATTATTCCCTTTTGCTGCCGTTATGCTCATTTAAATGAGCACACAGTTACACACCGTTTGTATCTATAATGTCAGTCTCTCAAAGAAAATCCACACATGTGGAGAAACAGCACAAATAAGTAAGTAAAATTAATACATAAGTAACTAAACACGTAAATGAATAACATTGTACATTAGATGTGAAAGAAAATAAATATTAGTATTAATAATATAATATATTTATCACGTAATTCAATAATGAATTTGTTTAAAAAATAATAAATAAATTTCAGTATGTTGAAGAAGTTCTGAATATGGAAGCAAAGCAACACAAAAATATGAGGAGCTGAATAAACAAGAGTCATGACAGACTTTGTGCAGCTTTGTAAATGTATGTTAGAGAGAGACGCAGCACGAACCTCCAGAGCAGAAAGATTTGTGTTGAAAGCTCCAAAAACTGCAGTTCTTCCAGTGGTCACTTGAGGCTGGTTCCAAAAGTTGCCATGATGCATGTTTCTATGTGGGACAAAAATAGCTTTTTGTCACTAACTAGTTTTGTGTGACAAAAATAGTTTTTGGAGACAGCTAACTAATAACTAATAACCTTGCACTCCCACACTCTTGTACGAATACGGTCACGTTTTGCTCATAAATGAATAAACAGATACATCAAATAACCTGAGTGAAAAGGTAAAGGTGATGTTTCTAAATGCAGAGATGACTACTTCTATCTTTTAAATACAGTCTGTGGTTTAAACAGAACTATGTCATGAACGAACAGCGTGTAAACTCGTTTCATGATTCAGTTGAATTATTTATACCAACAACAAAACACACAAAATGCTTCCATCCATCAAATCACTTGGGAAATATTGTTGTAAAGTGATGTAATGATGTTTCAGAGAGAATCCGGTCTGGTCACCGACAGGTACTAGAACCGGATGTGGGGTGGCTGATTTCTTTCGGCCCCAGCAGGGCATGTGTAAAGCGGCAGAGTATATAAAGGTGTGAGCCGACACCAGCGTGGCCTCTGCCAGCTGAACATCGCGGTTAGAAAAGAGGGGATTGGTTTGGAGCTTGCAGCTGTCCGGCGGCACTTCCTGTGGGAATTTTTACAAGCTACCAGGTGGGTGTTTGTTTGAAATGACGACAATATGAAGGCAAAGTTCTGATCCGCTAAGTGTCTGCTCTTTTGACGCGATATCTGCAGGAAAGTTTGCGTGGATTTTTAATCGGGATTTGACTGCAGCCTGAGGAACCTTGAGCCAAACGCTGTAATTCCTCATATGTTGTTTAATAAAGCCCATTCTGCTGATGTTAATCCCTGACAAGTCAGCAGAACAAGTGAGGCTAAAATGAACCACGTGGATGTTTTAAACAAGGCTGTTTAGTTCAAATGAAAATGTACAAAAACCATCTTTTTGCGCACGTTGTTCGCGTTGTTGCGCTTTCTGCTTCTGCTCCTTTCATGATTCATCCAGGGACAGCCGGCTGCTCAGTGGCCGGGATAAATGCTTTGTCACGGGGTTGGCGGCTGCCCAAACTCTTCTGTCCACCCAGCCACTGTTTCTACTGAAACACTGCAAGCAACAACAGGATCTTTCCTCTCCAGCTTTGATGATGTTTTTTTCATAGCAGTGTGGAGCTCACTATGGTGCAGCTATCTCCTTCACCTACCCTGGATATCACCTTTCCACCTGAGAAGTCAAAAGGAAGAGAAGAGGACTCGGTCACTGATGGTATCCTGAAGATGGGCTCACCTGCTGGGTTGAACACGCTGCAGCTCAACATGGAAAGCTCCACTGCTTACTACGGCTATGAAACCTACATAGAAGATGGCCTCATCTGCCTCAAACACAAAATTCGCAACCTAGAGAAAAAGAAGGTAAGTTTCTGACAGTGCTGTGAAAGTGGGCGCCTGCTGTTTGTGACGCGTGTTGTCCCCGCAGCTGAAACTGCTCGGCTACAGGAAGAGACTGAAGCAGGGTGAGGTTCTAAACAAAGATCAAATGGTGAGTCCAGCTCGTAGTGATTTCTTAAATGAGCTCTGTCTCTAGAACCTGCACTGGTGATTTGAGCTTTCCATTTCCATTTTAGGCGGCTGTGGAAAAGTATGAGGAGGTGCTGCACAACTTGGACTTTGCACGAGAGCTCCACAAAACCCTGGATGGCTTGACTCAGAATGTAAATGTGTCTGGTCACTTTGTCTTTATATCCTGGCGAGGTGTTATTATGCCCTGGGTATTAGGTTGTTTGGCTCCGGTGCATTAGATAAGCATATCCAAAATTACACCTGGTAATCTGATGATATTGGTGGGCTGTAGGCTGCCCACCCAGTTAGAAATGTAACCTGTGCTTTTTCTTTTTGTCTTTCCTTTGTTTTGATGTCGATCTGGTCTAAAACTGCAATTGAACTGTACTTTGTAAATAAATGCACGTTCATGTCTTCACATGCATTCTATAAATTAAACTGCTGTATAGTCAGAAGTCTCACAACTAGCTATAGAATTTGAAAACTCCTTTAATCCTCCCCTGCAGCTGATTAAGGCCCAGAGGAAAGCCATGAAGAAGGAGCAAGTAGCTATAGTGGAGGAAGAGAGGCGACGTCTGGCCACTGTACTCCAGGTCCAGCACCTCCTTGCTAGCCTGCAGAAGGAGCATGTCAGGAGAGACCTTTTGGCCGGCCAGAATCAGGCACCATGCGTTCCAGGCCAGCAGCTACATAGTCTGAGCCAGCTCACCACCTTGCTTGGAGTCAAGAGAGATAACAGACTGAGGTGAGAGTGACCGTAAGATGGTGAACTTCCTCCTTTGAAGGTGACGTAGCAACTGAAATGACTAAAACTTCTGACCCGAGTCTTTCACTTCTCATTGGTCATGTCACAATATTTTCAGGACGCCACAAATTCTGAGCCAAGTTTTCTGCCCTTGAGTGGAAGTTGAGTGTTGACATAGAATTTTTGTAGATGTCAGGCACAGGGTGGCTTGAATTTCAGGATATAGCTACTGACATCTCTTTTCTGTTCGCTGTAGTTTACAAGAGCAAATGGAGCAGGCGGCTCTGGCCTACATGGACCTGTTGGAGGGAAAAGACAAGCCGGTGGCTGGATCCTCGTGTGAGTGCAAAAACCGGAAAGATCTCTAGAGCTCCTGTAATTCTAACATATTAGACACAAAGCCCTACAACCAGCTGCAAAAGGCAATGTCTACAATTCAAAGAAAACACAGCAAAATATTCATAAACCTCCACCTCAGCCTCTTGAAGGCGTTTGGAGGTTTTTGTTTCTGTTTTTCTCTAATCCACAGCTTTTATTTCAGCCTTTAGGGTATACATGGATATTCTTGATTCAGTGAGACGTATTACTTCACTCCAAGAAAGGATCTCGATATAGTTTGAAGACAGTTTTGACCAAGAGTTGTAGGGAGACTGACGGATGATTTGTTTGAAGTACCTGCATTAACTGTGTGTGGGTGGGTGTGTGGGTGGAGTTATTACCTAAATAAAAATGAACTACTTTGACCATAACACATAACTGGTTTTAGCCGCTTGCTTTTCGTGCATATAGATCTACCTTACTAAGAATATCTTCCCTTCTTTTTCCTTTTCAGTTAAACAGCTGAAAGAGGAGCTCACCAGGCTGTTGAATTACGAGTACTTCAGTTGTCTTCCACCTCCTCCAAGCAAGACTCCAGAGGTGGTCCTGAGCTCAGCCAGCCACACTCGTAAGATTCCAAAATTACATTTCAATAGCAACTTTTCAGCCATGAAAAACCTTGCATGTGTTACAGGATCGGTGTTTTATTATGTTTTGATTTTGTACTTTCCTACCAGCGGGTTGACCAGGTTAGTTTTGGTGGTCCTTGACATGGTTTTGGTGCTTCCTGAGTTTCCTGTCCAGGAATTGACACAAACTGTACAAACTGTACTGTCTTGGAAATGCCCGTGGCAGTCCTTGTTGTGTTCTGTAAGCTAGAAGTATTACTCCAACCAGAACCTGTAGCAGGCAAAGAACAACTTCATGTGCTGAAAAATGAGTTAGTCGATCTGCAATATAAGACTGTAGAGGGAGGTGAGAGATTTCAGACTACGGCCCCTCCTGGCTTTGATTTCTTGCTTGTTTAGACTGCGACTTGCAGCCATCTACATTCCTTTTGTGTAGTTGTATTGGCATCAGGTGTCCCACCTCAGGCTCCTGTTTAACAGTTCTCTGGCCCTTGCACAGCTCCAAGGTTAGTTTTGACAGTGTTGTGATCCCACTCCCGCCCTGTTTCTGCTGAAGCTGAGCTTTAAAAGGCATCGCTACATGAAATGTATTTCTGTAACTGCCATATTTTCCCTGAAAAAGTTGACTTCCATATTTCTTTTTCTGCTTTGCCCTGTCAGCCATACTAAAGTCAAAATCAAATGAAGTTTCAAAGGAGGTAAGCCCAATATTCATTTAGGGTCCCCTCCCCACCCGTTCCTTCGACTGCATTTCAATGCTCTATATACAAACAGTTCCCAACCCACTGCTCTGTATGCCAGTTTTTCAATAGACTATATGTGAGTGAGAAGGAGCAGGACCCTCCTGACTGCTGGGATATGGAGCTCCCAGGGGAACCTTCATCACCGCAAACTGCAGTCCTCAAACCATGGAGAGGAGCTGCCACTTTAATACCTAAAGTCATTCCATCCACCACAAGGAAGCAGTCTGCAGACTGCAAACTGGTAAAATATAAGCAAACATTTTTGCTCTTCAGTTGTCATCTGCAATGACGAGTAAAACTGGGTGACTTGATGACGACTATTCATTATATTAGTATCAGAATGAACCGAGCGGAAGTACAACATGATTTATGCATTCCTCTTCTCATGGTGAAGAACAGGCTGTCTGTGAACAGCAGC